TGTTGGTCCCCCAAGTCATTGCCACCAACTGTTAATGATATTAAAAAATGTTTTTTTTATCAAAAATAATATTTTGTTCTTCTGAGAATAATAATCTTATTGTACTGAGATAAACAGTTTTTCCAATTGTAATATGTTCTTTGTATACAAATTTTTATAAATACTTTCCTTTGATACATTAAAAAGTGTATTATGTTTCACACTGTATATCAATATACTTACTTGCAAGACATTAACACGTTTGTGACCAGCGTCACATATTTGTGATGTTTAACATTTTGTATTTTGATAACAAAAATTAAATTACTTTCACGTGTGTTTGTATCTAAAATCATAACACATAGTGTGACGTGTAGAAAGTTAACGAGATTTCTTTCTTGAATTTTATTTTCATTTTATCATGGCGATATGTTGCATTTTGTAAAATATTATAGCTATAAAGATTGCTATTGAATTAAACACTGGTCACGAATGTGTTAAGCAATATTACTTGGATATACTTTAGATGTATTCACAGTATTATATCTGCCAGATATACCAACGATATTGCATCATATCACAACATTACCTTTATCATACGAAATATCAGTAGGATTATATATTTTGACTTTGACATTAAGACAAATTATCTTTGAACGATTACAGATAAGTTTTTGATTTATACATAAATTCCATATTGTTTGATATGAATATATCATAAAACATAATATAAAAATGTAGATTAATGTTATAAACATAATAACTGATAATGATTTATATGATCGAGAACAAAGTATTTAATATATAATTTTAAAAATTCATTCTGTAACACTTTGATCAATGTATTTCTTATTAACATATTATTTACACTGTTATTACCTTCACAGAAATAGTGAAAAAATAATATAATAAACAATAAGTAATAACATTAACATTATATATAACGTAAACACTACATTTCTCATCAGAAAATTAAATATTTTACAGAAGGTAAAACTATGTACATCATTATAAAAAGTAAATTATAAATAAAACATATACATATATTTGTTAAAGTACTGAAACATACTTACAGGATAAATTTGTGAGTCTTCTGTAGAACAAGATGCATCTTCCCCATTTTGGGTATTCGAATGTGATGTAGAATTCAACATAGTTTCTTCTCTAGCACGTTTTCTAGACATTTTCTACTATTTCAATCTTTGGCCCATATAAATCCTATTATATGATATAAATAATTGTCAGTAATAAGAATTGTAATCAACAAGAAATCAACTATTAAGCATGTGTTTAAATATAAAACTAAATATCTGAAAGCAAAAAAATTGGAATCACTGTTATAAAAATAATTCATAGATTTATACATATGTGATGTAATGTATATATTACACTGAAGGTTAATTTAAAAACAAGGAAACAAAAAATTTTCGGAAGTACTTTATAAAATTAAGAAAATCTATAAATACATACAATAACATTTAATGTGTCAATAAAACACAATGAAAAAACAGATGTTGTTTATAGCTTAGTTTCACGACATTATTTTTTACGTTATATTTCGTGACATATACATAAAGCAGAAATTTACCCGATTTTTATACGTTAATTTAAATAATGAATACATTTTATCGTACAGCTTTAAATTTATAAATCATTGTAACTATAAAATATCTGTAAATAGTTGTTCAATTTCCGAAAAGCAATTATGAATGTGTCAAAATTGTTGCAAATTAGTCATGTGTAATATTATAGATTATTTTTTAATGAAATTTATAGATATTCACCCATCTTGTAAAAATGATTAAAATGTTACATATACATAAAACATTAAAAAAAAGACGAATATAAGAGTCAAAATGTAACCAAAACGCGTGACTCATAAATACAATACCCACAGCGGAATGATAATTTGATACAAGAAACGTGTAAAACTCGGTAACTTAACGACCCGGCTTTCGTTAGTCTATCGTTGTGTGTACTATCAGACATTGAACATATTTCCTTTTCAATTTTTAAAAATTCAGTTAAGTTAAACGAACCTTTTCACGCCCTAATTTTGTTACGTACAACTACTACATGAAGAAGTCATAGGATGTGACGAAAAATCGAAGTGTTCCGTTAAAAATTCATTAAACTCTAACATCGGTGAATTTTTGCAAAACACTTTAACAATATGAATTATAAAGAATACTTCATACAAACTTTAACAGGTATTCCACATTTAACATTACAGTTACATACTATTTAACAGCTGACCCAGCAGACACTCGCCACGACACTTGTCGTGGATATTCTGCACACTGCACGCGCTTCAATACACAACCAGGACCGAATAACAGCACTATGAATCCTCAGGTAATAAAGTGAGAAGTATCCGTGTGTGCGTTCTACGTTAAAAGAACATAGAAATCACAATTGAGGGCAAGAAGCCATACCAAAACCTTTATTTAAATCTAGTTCTGTTTTCACACATTCCGAAAATAAAATCACAGAAATATATTTTATTAGGTGCATATTCTAAACTAAGACTCTTTATTATTATCATTGATAAGAAAAAAATCGTATAAAAAATCAATGAAATTAAGCATTTTAAGACATATTACATATCAATCTAAATTAGTTTGTAGTTGAAATAATTTATTTTGATTATAACTAATTATCTATGAAATTAATATAAATTCTTTATACAAATTTATGAACATTAATATTCACTTTCTATTGTCAAATAATATCAAAATTGTATAACGATAACATGATAAAGATAAAACATTGATTTGTTACACAAAAAATTAATTTTAAAATTACCGCCTTAAAGGCGCTGCACAAAAAAGGATTGATATGATTTAAAGTTCCTCACAGTATAAAGTAACATACGTTTTAAAATTGATTGCTAAACCATATATACTTTACAATTGTTGAAGTAAATATACTAAAAGTCAATTTTACACAATGAATAAAATCACTTAATTTTATGAAATGAACTTGAAATGCACTCACATCTACGTAGAAAGGAGTTTCACAACAAAATGACCGCCACTTATGAAAGAGGGGGGAAATGATGACGTAATATCGGATGATCAAAGGCGTCACATATTTGTAATATCACATGCGCATAAGTATGTATGTATTTAATTTAGAAAGAAATAATATATGATAACATTATTTTTATTAACATGCTGTTTCTTAGGAAAGTAATTTAAAGTTAAAGTAAGAAAGTAATTAAAAGTAAAATATTCATATCGTATATTAAGAATTACATACTCTATACGAAATAAATCGATTAAATGTTTTATAATTTTTATGATAAATTTTGTTAGATATCATTCTTTAATTATCCTTGTATTGAAATGTCGGTGAAAATTGTCTATTTGAAGGAAGTATAACGATAAAATAAATTTGACGTTGTTTATCTTGCTGAATATGTTGATAACAATGTTGTAAACTTTGCAAACATGATATAAGTAAGTATAGTAACATTTTATCTAAGTCAAATTATTTTACTAAACAAAATATTTTCATCCACTACATAATATTCAGTATATGTTTATTTAATACTTAAAATAAATATTTATTTGAATATTTAATCAAAATATTTGAAAAAATATAAACAGTATTTAGTGCATTACCGAATACCATTTATCATATCAAGCATTGCAATATATGATGTAATGACTATTCAACAAGAAAGTATATGGATAATAAAAAAAACTTTTATATAATTTCAATTCACCTAAACACAGATTATATACTATTCAACTGACCTACCGCTTATAAAACGGTTTGCATGAAACAAATTACTCGGGATAGATGGGACACGCGGAAATATGTGGTTATAAGAATAAATAAATCATGAGTTGCGTGAAAGTCTTGCGAACTATCTAGACCCCGATAAACATTTATATATAGGGTGTGGTCGAAATTATAATACTAGTAAGAAGCAGGTGATTCTTTATACAGAAATAAATAAAAAACCCGTAATAAAATTTTGTCGTCTAACGGGTTTCGAGAAAATAGTTTTGAAAAACATATCGAATGCGCAAGCTATTACATGTGACTTATCGAACATTCTTATCAATAATGTGTGTTTTCTTTTGCTTGTAATTATAAAGGTATGTATAAATAATACATTCTCAAAATCAAGGTTTTTTATAAATACAGAAAATAGTTCTATATATTTTTTCACTAAGAATCATCTTCGGTTTGCTTTTACCATAATTTTCGTTGCACTCTGTGTATAAGGGAAGTGTTTGGCATTTAAAATACTCGTATTATTCTAAATTTTAAATATGGTTGTGAAATATAATGTATTAACGTTATTTATCTAAAAATTGCGTTATCAAAAATGTTTGATATGTTTACTTTTGAAATGTAATGCGGGAAAGATTGTTATGATGAATGTAAGTAACTTCACTGAATTAGAAACACTATCTTGAATTGTAGTAAACGCCAAGAAGTAAGCAATGCAACTGTAATTAGAATTTTAGATTATAATTTAATAATTATTTTTATGCAAATTCCTATTTTCATGAATTATTTTATAATAAATGTGATAAGAAGAAAAATTTATTTTACTTACCAAGATTCCATATGGTAAAAATAAAGTAGGAACGTCATTAATCGTTAACAGCGAAAATGTTTTCTTACGTTTTACGAATTTCGTAATCATCAAATATGCATAAAAATTCCGAAGTCCGATAATAAATTAAATTTTTTAAAAAATATACTCCATAAATATTTAGCTTTAAGTAAGTAAAAAATATACCGGTTTTAAAGGTGAAATAAAAGAATCAGTTAAAAAAGCTGGTATTTATTTTAATTAATTTATTTTAACTTTAAAATAATCTCTATATAATTATAAGAATTATAATTTTACTTTTTATGTTTTTGCGTCGACATATTTTGTTACCGCATATCGCATAAACAGTCCTTCATTCAATTTAATAAGATGTTCACATTCACCCATAGTATATTTTATACGGCTTATATTGATCTTTATGAAATAATTGAAATAGTGCCTACGATTTATCAATGATAATTACATTTATGTAATTCAACTTTATGTATTTATTTAATATTAATATACTTTGATATATATATATACAAATAAATGTTCGACCATTATTTCTATTCCCTTACATATATCGTAACAAAAATTTTTTTTTAAGGATTTTATGTTGCAACTAGCCGCAAATTTTATATGAAGTATATTTTCCATTGCAAGTTTGCATGCAACAGTAAATATTATGTCAATTGTTGTGTATAAATAAATAGCAACAAGAACAGGAAGTTGTAATTTCGCTATTCCTCTCAGTCATTTCATTTGTAACATTGTTGTCCTTAATTTATATTCTTGTTATACAATAATGTTGAAGAAACGTAATGCCCAGCATTATCTTTTTTCCCATCTGCAGATGTCACAACAACAAATAAGTGTAAAATTACAGCTAAATAAGTGTAATAAGTTAATATAAATCAGCTGTAAAATTACAAAATCAAATAAAATTTCATTAAACTGAAAATACCGGTTTCTTTCAATCTGAATTCGAGAAATGTCAGAGTTAGCAGGTGTTATAGTATACTACGAATTATATCATTCAAGACTTAAAACTTTTTGAAGTTCATTACGTTTCATTTCAAGTCATCGTATACGGCTCCGTCTAACTTCAACGCTGTAATATTATCAATATTATTATTAAATAACATTTACTGTACCTAAATTTAATAATAAAATACCTAAATCACAATATATTCTGCCATTATTTGATGGCAATAAGTTGGTGACTTTCCAATATATTTTTCACTTTTTATAGTTTTATTATTCTTCCGAATAAATAGTTTCAGAATGCAAATAATTGGGACAAATAAGAGATCGCAGTGACAAAAGAAGATTTTGATGTTCGCGGAACAAAGCTATCATTTATATTTAAAAATACTATGCAATTTACAAAGCTGTAATTAAAAAATTTAGCATCGTTCGGCTATCAATGGCGGGAAGTGTAATATTGTAGTAATTTTGTTGTGTTCAAAATGAATCCACATATGTACATCTGGTTATATTATATTGCTGTTCCTTACGAGTAATGCAAACAGGAAACTAGTTAAAAAAATTTTCGTCAATGCGAACTCGCTTATGTTTTAGTTTATGTTTACATTCTTAGATTTATGCGCAATGTATAATACGTCGCTGAGTGTGTTGATGAGCGTGAATTTCATTTCACGTAATTTGCAGCAATTCCAAATAGTAAAAAACGGGAAGAGTATTGTACCTATTAGTGAAATATAATTAACAAATATGCGCGTCGTGTCAAATAGTTACATACGGTATAGTGTCTCTCTTTATAATTAGGCTGGAGCAAACGTTCCGTAGGTATAATGTAGCTACCTAAAGTCTGTGATTTCACGATAAGCTTTATTAAAGCAAATGTGTTTTTTTCTCTTTTATGTTAAGGCGTTTAAGTTCGGGGATAAAAAACAAATGGCTAATTAGTAGGCTGTGCACTAAGTGCTTCGTGTAATGCTTGTTGCTGATCTGCTGTCAATGCATTTATGCATGCTTGGAACATAGACTCGTTGTTCTAAAACAAACGAAAAATATTATTTATAATATAACAATGAGTAACATATAGAGTTATATAAGTCTGGTTGTCATGTACCTGTATTTGTCTAACAATACTAAGAATTCTGCCCATAACAATATTATCTGATGGTACTGCATCTCTGTGAAGTGCTTCAGCAAAGAAACTTATTAGTCGAGGTAGATTTGCATTGTTTGGCCCTAAAACTGCTACATGATTTGCTTCAATAAGATCGCAAAGATATCCATATACGTAAGGTGCTTCATCTTCGTCTTCTACTACTGGTAACCAAGACAACCTACATTTAAATAACAAAAATGCAATATTTGTTATAACTAATCATTAATATAATATACATATGCAATAATTCCTTGAAAGTCTCGAACTGCTAAACTCTGAAATTTACTTCTTGAATGTTCGAACATTTTTCATCCTTTCGTTATGACATTGCACGAGGCCAATCTTTAGCGTACAAGTTTAACAAGGACAGGGCCAGACATAAAAATCTGTTATAGGGTAAAACCTTATGCATGTTATAATACATATCTAGAAATGAAAAACTCTCATGACTTTTTTCATTGCAAATTTCGGAAAAAATGAGCTTCAAGTTTGCATGTTACTGTAATAAGACGATAAATGATATTACAATAATAACATACAAGTTACTTAGAGATTATAATTCAAAGGAAAACACAGAAAAGCAGAGAAAAAAAAAGAATTCCAAGTATGGAGATTTGGAACGTCACCTTGTTGTAGTAGGTTTCTTCTAATCGTCTTATTACAGTAACATACAAACTTAAAACTCATTTTATTTCGAAAACGGAGAAGCATTATCAAAAAGCCATGAGGGTTTTTCATTTCTAGATACGTACTATGTCGTGCATATGGTTTCATTCAAAATAGATTTTTATGTCTGGCCCTCTCCCTGTAAGCCTTATACAAAATTCTGTTAATTATATAAGAAACGGCAGATTTCATCATCGATTGCGCTTGTACAACCAGGTCATCGTGTATACGTCGTATACATCCGGCGTTCGTAATGAAAGGGTTAAATCTTCCTTCTGATTTCATCAAAATCGTGTCATCAAATGAATCGCGTTGTTAAGAGTGATTTATTTTGCTTCATTTTAATGTGTTTACTTTATCAATGTTCTCATATGACAAATGTGCATCGAGAGAGTTTGTAACGAAATGTTGATGTTTTCCGATCATAAGTAGTATGGAAAATTTTTAATTGATTTAAATGAAATATTTCAGAGATTTTCAAGGAAACACTCTAGTATAAATGAAAGATTTACCAATGAGGAAGTATTTCATCAACATTAATGGCTTTATTATTATATTTAAGAATTTTTGTTACTGCAGAAATAGCATTTTCAGTAGGATTAACATTTTCTGGAGATCTAGACTCTGGATCATTTATAACTTCCATTAACCTAGGTAAGGCTTCTGCACATGCTTGAGCAAATGCTTCTCCCCCATATAGCCCCAAAACTCCACAACCGTAAGCTGCTGCCTGTCTAACTTCCGCTGATGTGTCTGACACATATTGTATCATTGGCCGAAGAAAATATTCTTGGTATTTTGCGCACTCGGGCCCACCAAATTCTATCACATCGTCAAAGACACACAAAGCCCATTGATGATCCGACCAAGATCTTTCAGGACTTAACAATTTTACAAAATGCCCACAAATTTGATCGAAATATGGGAAGAACGATGCTTCGTGAGTTGTAAATAGGGCATGTAGGATATCTGCTATTTTACTTAGTGTATATACATCCTCATCGTCTTCATCTGCAAGCTGTTCTTCGACAACCTAACATAAACATGAAAACTGATATTGGTACATTTGAAAACGGCACTCATTGGTCTTTTTTTAGATGTTCTAACGTTATTCGACTAAATAACATTTTCCCCACGTCTTATTAATCTATTTCAAAACGTGCAATAAATAAAAACTTATAGAACAACATATAAATAAATAAATATATATTAAATCACAATCGTACCTCATCGTAATCTTCATCTTTACGTTTTTCCAATCTGGCAACTGCTCTTTCAAAATGCTTATTAAGTAACTTATCTAATATACGTAAAAGCTCAGCCATAGGTTGTGCTCCTAAACAACCAGTACCAAGTGTTTCAATACACTTAGCTAATGAATATAATAATTCCAATAGGACTTCAGATTCCGGTTCCGTATCAATAGCGTTTAGAAGGTCTGGGCAGATGTACGCCCACATTCCTTCAAGATATTGTGGACCTGTAATGTAATTATTATATGTATTTAAATATACTAACCTATTGTTTCAGAAATCCAATCGAAAAGTGCCAAGACAACATGATTGTGCTATATTTTATGCCTATAGCAGTAATTGTAATTCTGATAAGTAGGTAACGTTTAGCTACTGTGAAAATAATGAGAGCTGAAGTTTCAGTTTAGTAAGACCATTTTAAATAGTAACGTTATTAATACACTGTAAAATCTAAACACGTCAACAGTTGAATCTTGTTTACATTCAGACACAGTGTCACTTTTTAACGTGTAAAGCGATCAGCACAATCGTGTTGCGTGGTACTCAAACAGTTAATACATAAAGGTTCTCAAATTCTTTTATAACTTCTGTAACCTTTTATTTTTGCACAGTCAAGAAGGTACGGTAAACTTGCAGCAGCCGCTGTTCTAACACCATCATGGAAGTAAAACTTCAACATGGGAACCATTAATCGTACTACTTCTTCTGCATAATCCGCGAAACCTTCTTTTAATTCTCGCGCGTAACAAACTAGCATTTCACAGGCAGAAGCTTTATCTTCTAATCCAGCTGTTTTGATTCCAAAGTTTTGCTGTTCTCCAAGAGAGACAAATTCCCAATCCACATCTTCCATACCCTCCATATCTTCATTATCAAGTAAAGCGACTTCAGGTTTCATAGATGCTGTACGTAAAACTGGACCCATTACCAGTGGCAAATATTGTTCAAACTGTTTACCTGAAAATATTGAAATGTTATTTTACATTTTTTAATAACGAAAATTTTATTTAAATACTATTATAGATTTAATAAATTACATAAATGTACTTTTGGAACTCTCCTAATTCTCTTTGAAAACAGACTCACATTTAAAGAAGTATCAAATATAGTTCCTTTTACATAAAAATATTCTTCTATATCATAATAAAACTACAATTTTAAAACAAAATTAGAAGAATTTCACGGAAGTTAGGACTTTGATAATTCTTTGGAAACATTAATATAATGTGGAAACAATATGATGAGTTACCAAGAATTTTACAAATTCGAGCCCAAGCAGATATTAAATAACTTGTTTGTGGATCATCATCTGGAAGGTCTCCTTCTGAATGGGTTTTTAATAACATATCCATAACTTCACTGGCATCTGCAATAAACTATACAATCGAAAAAATATAATAAAATGCGATAAAATATATATTATACAATTACTTTATAATTTTATTTAATTACCTTTTCAGGCCCAACTGCAAGTCCTATAAGACTCACACATTCGATAGTTTTACCTCGAAGCATTTTGTGTTCTTGAAGATTTGCATTTTGTATAATATATTTTAAGCATGGCATTAGTCTGTCATAATATGTTACAAACTGTTCTTCACAAGTATCGGCTACCGACGCAATGGTTGTCACGACCTTTCATAAAAACAATATTAAATTACAAAAATTGCTGTGTAATGAGTAATTTAATTTATATGTTTAATATTTCAACTATGACATACGTACTTGTTCAAGAACGAGTTTCGTTCCCTTTTCGACTAGTTCCTGAAATTTCGCAGTAAGTATTGATTCCAATTTAGCCATAATAGCATCTAAATATGGTGTTAATATGTATTTCGGACAATCTTCGCTGAAGTTCACAAGGGCTGCACCTGCATGAGCTTGAACTCTTGGATTTGCATTATCATCCAAAACCATTAACAATCCGGGAATAACTTTATTGTGGAATTTCTTTTCAAATGTAGGTGCAAAATCGGTTGACATTTGACCCACCGCGTTACAAGCAGCATATCTTACACGAGGGTGCTAAAAAACATAGATTTAATAAATAAAAATTATAACGATATATTTAAACATTAACTTAACATTTATGTTGTATGTTCCATGACTATGACTAATTAAAATTAGTCAACTCTCTGAAACTCAAAAGCGGGTATTTTAACACACATATTGTCAAAACGACAATGTGGTCAAATACCAAACTTCTGTTTTACTCTGCCATGAATGTAACGCTATTGTGTTCACAAATTGAACACAGCTGCTGACTCTATTCATGGGCTGTAAATTTAATTTACAAGTATGATTCAATTTACCGGATCTTGTAGGTACTGAATGACTCCATCCATGATTTGTGGTAATATTGCTTCCATTTGTTTATGACAACCTTCTCCCACTGCAGAAATTGCCATAAGAGCTGCATGCCTAAATACAAATATTTAGAGTCATAATAAAATTTCGTAGATTATTTAATACACATATGTAAACAAATATGTAATGTTTGTTCCAAAACTATGACAATAATAATTTTATGAAATTATTGTCAACTCCCTGAAAAGAACATCCTGGAAGGACCTCACGTAACTATTTATCAGAACGATAAATGGAAACGGAGAATAACCTCACAGGTTACTCTATCACAGATGTAACGCAATTATTTGCATAAGGCATATAAACGCTGACATTTCTGTGACGACAATGAAATTGTAAAAAAATAAAAGTATGTAAATAGAAAGTAATTACCTGTATTTCCAGTCGCTATTATTTAACATCGAAGGAATATTCTGTACAATTTGTGGTAGCATTGTTTTACCACCTAAACCACATGCTAATCTGTCTAAAGCACTTTCAGCAACAACATTGTTACTGTCATTATCATCGTCGACAATCTTGTCAGCAAAGCTCCAATTTTTATCCTCCTCTATGTCTGTCATCATCTTTAATACTAGTGGTACTAAAGATACAATATATTTTCCGCCTACTTTACGTACCATGGCAGGAGCAGTTTCTGATAATGTTACTAATACTTCTAACGCTAATTGTCTCCAAGAATCTGGCATTTCTTCATTAGAAAATATTTTCATACACATTTCCATTATATTTCCTAACTGAAATCTGAGAAATTTGGGCGTCGATCCTGCCAAATCAATCAAAACTTTTAAAAGAGCGTCATCTGTTTGTTTCTCTACTGACTCAGCAGTTACTTGTACAACTGCAGGTAGTAGCTCTGAGAAGTGTTTTTGTATATTGTCTTCTGTATCGTGCAAAATAATAAATGCTGCAATTGCTCTTACAGCTTGAAACCTGACCTAAATAATTGAATTTATTATTTATTGTAATCGTATTTATATTAAAATCAAATGCTAACATTTGCAAACATTGTTTTATATGAATCAGTGTAACAGGTTTGACAGATACATGAAATAATATTTCTTGTATGCCCCGTATCTGTCTGTAAATTAAATCTTCACAAGTTACAGTCATCAGAAGGCAATTTTTTATAGGAAAATCCAGTGACGAGATGAACGAGTAAACGAATCTCGTGTATCAGTCTTCCATATCAAATTTTAATATATTGTAAAGAAATTATTTCATACAAATTTTAATTACAATTACCTCGTAATTTGTAGAATCCATGAGAGACTGCTGCAACATTTGTTTAATAAGATCAAGGTAATTTGCTTGTTGATTTGCAAAAACGCCTGGGACGGATCTATATGTATAAATTTATGTGTATAAATATATATTTGAAAATATAGACTCTATATTATGAACTTACGTGAACATTCGAAGAGCGCTTTCTTTTAGTGCTGGCAAAGGACTATTAGCACATTGGAATAGGAACTGCAAAAATTCTGGCCACTGATTATTACCATCTTCATCAATCAAGTTTCGTGCAACTTCAGCTGCAACTTCACAAACTTTCCGTCGAATAGTTTCTGTCTGTTCATTTTGAACAGACAATAAAATTTGTTCTTTCAGCTGAGCTTGTGCTTCTGGCGGAATCTAAGGTAGAATTGTAATAAAATTTACATAATGATTACAAGATATGTATTTACTTTAAATACTTCTTTATTACAGTCAATTATGATTTATTTTGATAAAGTGATTTACTATTTTAATTGAATTTTGAAATTAATAAAATTTGAATTTGGTAACTTTATCTGTGTATACTAATGTCTAACACAGTTGAACCAAATGTAATTTAATAACTTACATGGATTGTATACGATTAATACAAAATTTGAATTTAATAAAATACTAATGACATACATAATAAACACATGGTAATAATTTCTCATTTAGAAGTTAGGAAGACCAGTTTCTTATTGGCAATAGTTGCTGGCATAAACTTTAAAATGTATTATATGATTTAAAATTATTTTAGTGTTAGACTCTTCTATATCTATTAAAAAGCCATGATTACTATACTTCTATTATATAAGAATATAAAGAATAAATGAATTGAATTAAAATAAAAGTATAAAATTATATGTAATAGTTAATGGAAATGCATAATTACTGTTGGATAAAAATCCACAAACTCTGATGAAAAGAGTCTGCGTAATAAAACTGCAGCCATAGCACGCATTTCTTCGACAAGCGTGGCATTGCATAACGATGTTAAGAGAAATGTCACCTTCCTTTCCAATGGTAAATTATTGTATGCCTCCTAAAATATTTAATAGTTATAATACTTAATGGAATATTTGTTATAACTGAAACTAATATTAATTGTTTGTTTCAAACAGATTGATCAATCATACATTGGTACCTAATACCTTAAATATATTTTATCGGATAAAGCATAATTTCCAGACTATCAATAATCATTGTTAATTTATAATTTAGAGAATTTAAAAATATTCTAACAAATAGTATTCATTAAAAAATTATTCAATAAATAGAAAGAAAGGAAAATAAAATAAAGCACATGTTGCCTTATAATATTAAACAGTGGTATATCTTATTCATCTTAAATTATATAATAAGAAAAAAATGGATACACAAAATATTTATTATAATAGCAACAATAAAGTGGTCATAATTGCGCATCGAGGTCCATGTGAATAAAGGTACTTCCTGTAACATCCAAAGCACGTTCAGGAATGCCGGAAATCAAACCGAAAACGGTTGCGTGTAGGCGGGAAAGCGAATACACAAATTATCAATCTTACCGAGTAATCACGTTATGGAAAATACAATTACACAAATGGAAACTGTTTTACTTTAATATTGATGAAAATATTAAACAAATATAAATTGTATATTCAATTTTTAAGAAATTCATATTACAATGGAATTTAAATTGAATTGGATCTTTGTAAAAGATTGGCGGGTGCATGCTTCTGTACGACACCATTTTGGATTTTATTAAGTTGTTCTAAACACTTGTCAGTATTCTTCTTTTTTGTGTGTTAGATTTACTGTAGAATGATCTGGTTAACACTATACAATGATATTTTATTATGCATCATAAGTTACATGTATAATTCTATATAAATAATCGGTGAATGCTACTCACATGCGAGGTCTGACAACACGTTGGCAACGTGCTCGAGAATTGAAGTATCTCATTTTATGATACATGTGTTGTTATAAACATTAATACATACAAAATACGTATGTAAAAATTATAAAACGTGTACGCACCTCTGCTTGTGATCTGGCATCGTTATCCGTGCTAACAAGTGTATTTAAAAGCTGTTGAAACCGATCAAGGTCTGCCGCCATTGTCGCCGAACGAATGAAGCTAAGGCGCATACTCCTGGAGTTGATCGTCAATTTATCTTACCAAGTTAAATAATTAAAATATCCCTAGATACTGCTAGTACTATTTTTAGATCTGACAGATCAGACAATAGTTACAAAAACATTTATTTGTACTTATTGTACAAAATAACTCTGTACTTTAAACACATTTATGTAGAATTTGAAATATGGTTATTACAAAATTTGAATTTGTGATTAAACATTATACAACTTCGACAATTTACTGTTTTGAATTGATGAAGTTAATACATTAATGCTTTGAAAATGTTACTAAATTGAAACCATGAAATATTCTAAAGATAGATAATGTACTTATGTAGGTAAGAATTGTCCTCTGTGATAGTATTATAAATCATTGCCATTTTTGCTTTCCCGAAAGCGACTACAAGAACAGTATTCTTTTCTATGATACAAGGCTCTATGGCACTAAATGTAATGCTGATGTATGTACTCTGCGCTCTATTAGTAATTAACTTGTTTACGTTTCTTTTGATTCAAGAAAGTTTCTTCAACTGACAATATTCAATGCTATTATTAAAATAATATTTATTCTAATATATCATGAATTTTAAATCATTACGCTACAGCAGAAGTGTCGAACTAGGTACTATCCCTCATGCTAGTGACTTTCGATCAGCGCTCCCTCATTATGTAACATTCAACAAACAAGTGAAAATAGATATAGAGAGCTCTTTCTCCTCACAGCTTGATTAACGAGAGTTACCCTCTCTCTACTTCTCTGTACCCTGACTACACTCTGCAGTCTGTCATCAGTACAAATATACATATGAAAAAGTCTCCCATTTTTTCATGGAGCTGCTCATAAGATAAGGGCAGCTCTTGGAGTAGAGGGTACTTACTATGTAGTAATCACTAAGTCACTAGTTCGACATTTTAAACTATAGTTATTACTTTGCAAAATATTAATTTTTTTATGCAAAACATTTTTATATGTATAATAAAGGCACTTGTATAGAATAAAATAACGTTCAGAACTTATCAGAAATAACATTAAGTTCAGATTTTCTAACGACAGTTTCTTAAAATTTTGTTAAGCAAACTGATATGAGGAAATGATTTATATAAAAAGAAATATTTCCTCAGTGTCAAAAAAGTCAAAGAAATTTTATTAGATTATAAGTTTAAATATGTTGATGACCGACAGAACAGCAAGTTAAAAAATACTATTACCTGTTATCTCAATTACTATATTTCTAATATAAAGTATTTAGTGATCGTAAAACAAACCTTAAATATATGTATACAGGTATTCGTTGATTAAACAAAAATAAATGCACAATACAAAAATAAAAAAATGTAATGCCAATGTTGTCGTTTGTATGTTTTATGAACGTTTACTGAAGCGAGAATTTATAAAAACAATAATAAAGTAATCGGTAAAATTTTCTTTCCCTTATAATTTTTACAACATGACATGTATCATTAAAACAATATTTTATACACGAATATTATAAAGTTGTATTGTCACACTGTTAGTAGACTACATTTCTTCTAAACTTATTCCCGCTTTATTTATTGATTGAGAAAGTTCTTCGTTTAAAATGTGTTTTTTTAAAATATCTTTTAGTTGATCGTCAGTGATATCCGTTGTGCTCATTGTATGCTTCTGTATCTTCTTCATTGCTCCCATTATGGAACTTTTTAAACCCGCGTTTATTTCCTTCAATTTTTGATAATCGTATTGTAATTCGTCCGCTTTACGTCTAAGGTCGGTATTGAAATTTCTCAAGGTATACAGTTCATCTTTCAATGCGACCTTCTCGGACTCTAGCTGGAACAATTTCGTTCTGGTTACTTCCAGCTGAATTTGTACAGATTCCTTCTCGTCTCGTAGTTTCGTTACTTCCACTTTCAAAGCTTGAATCTCCTCCGACGCATCTTGCAGTTGAAGATATTTCTTTTCGTTTTCTGAAAAATTAACGACAAAATTGCATCTCAGCGTGTTTAATTCCATTTTGAGGGCAACGTTCTCGATTTTCATTTTATTGAAGAGTTCTAATAATCCCTCGATCTCTATTCCAGGCTGTTGACCTGTTATCTCCCTGCTGTAACAAACACTTGCTCGGTCGATACACGCTACAGCACCTGCAGAGTCGTCCGAATAACGATCCGTATAGCTGTTAATCTCATTATAATAAAGATTCATGATAGGTCTAATTGCAGTTTCGTTCTTCTTGCTTTGGGCTAACTCAAACCTGTGCTTCTGAAATTCCTCTTTCATACGACTCAATATCACCTTGACCTCAAAGTTTTGTCTCCTCAAGTTCGATAACTCGTACTTCAAAGCTTTGTTCTCTACCATCAGTTTCTTCAGTTCATCCTTCTTATCCTTTGTCTTCATCTTCTCGTTCATGCGTTTGACGGGTTTCATGTCATCCTTCTTTGCTTTATTGTCACGGTTCTCCGGAATATGGTCCTTAATTTGCTCAGTGGGTTTGATGGAATTCAAGTCTTTTATCGCCATGATTTCCTCTTTTTCCGCTTTCGAACCATCGAATCGTAAATTGTTAACGTATTCACAATACAGCGACTCCTTCTCCTTTTTCAACGTTGTGTTCATCAATTCTAATATCTTCATTTGATTTTCGATTATTCTATGCTCACTGTGGACATTGCTCAATTTTATTTTCAGATCCTCCACCGTCCTCCGTAGCGTCTCGTTGTTTTCTATCGTTTCGTTGAGCTTGTTCCGCAATGACACATTCTGTGATTCCGCTTTGTCACGCTCCGTTCTCAATTTCTCGAATTTGATAGAAGAATATTCGTTTTTCGTTTCAACTTTATTCAGCTGATTCTTCAAGGCGACGTTTTCGGCGTCGAGCTCGTTAATACGCGTCGCGAGGTCATCCCTTTCTGCCAGAAGCACTCGCACACGGCTCTCGAAATCGGTGTTCTTTAAAGTCAACGCGAGTAAGCTGTCGCAGTTTCGCGAATTCTCGCATTCCAAACGTTTTATTTTATCCCCTGCGCCATTCAACTCCGCTCGTGCGTCTTCTAACCTGGAAGCTAGATCTTCCGTGCTTATTTTGAAGTTTCTTATCTCGTCCCGGAGGACATTGCATTTGAACTTGTACTCCTTGGTTTCGTCCTCCAGCTTCAAGTAGTTTGCGTTAATGTCTCTCAAAGATTTGTTTAGTAATTCCTTTTCCATCTTCAAATTCGTTAATTCCATCGCCAATTGTCTTTTTTCGTTCTTTAGCTGAATTCTTTCGTCGTTCAATTCATTGTAGTCCGATACTAATTTAGTTAGTTCCATCGCCTTTATTCCAGCCGTAGCTTTCTCAGCGTTTAATTGACGTACCAGTTTCTCCTCTATCGCCTTCAGGTGGAGAATGTCCTCTTCCATTCTCGCCTTGCTGATAGAAAAAGTCTTCAATTCGGTTTTCAGATCGACGATCTCGCGATTCGCGTTATTCAACTGCTGCATCGACGTTTGCAACTCCTCTTTTAGTCGCTGTACATTGTTGTCCGCAGATAACTCTTGCATTTCCTTCGCGTTTTCGGTTTCCTTATGGACGTTCGTAGATTGATAGACATTCATTTTATTGAGCAACTTCATCTTTTCCTTTGATGTAACGTGAACATTCTTTCCGATATCGGCAATCTTCTCGTTCAACGTCTTTTCCATAGCATCTTTTTCAGAAACGATCAATTTAATTTCATCATTCTTTTTCTGAAAACTGTCACGCATCTTGCCGATTTCCTTTAATAACCTTTCTTTATCGGTCTGAGCGTTCAGCAATTTCTTTCTCATCGAATTTGCTTGGCTGATTATCTGTTCTAACTGTTCCACCTCCTTTTTGTCGCTCTCCTGTTCACGCTGAAGCTTCGATATCCTTTCCTTCATCTCCTTCGTTTTTGCCTTGAACATGTTGTTTTCTTCCGTCAGCGCCGTTACTCTTCCTTGCGTGTCTTTGAGTTCCACGGTCCTTTGCTCAAGTGACGCCTTCGCGTCGGATAACTTCTGCTTGATTAGCTCCGCCCGTTCGTCCTTCTCGTTCGCCTCCACTTTTAATCGAACGATCGACTCCTCCAGTTGCTCGATTCTCTTGAACAAACTCGAGCTATCGTTAGACGCAACGATCACTTCCAATTGCTTGATCTCACGACATACTTCGCGAACGAGCTTCTCTAATTTTTCAATGTCCGCCCCTTCGTTCGAGTTTCCTCTCGTTTGCCGATTCAACACATTTATCATCGTTCTCGCCTTTCCGACGATCGCTTCCAGCTCTTCCAGTTTGTGTAGGTACTGAAGACTTCCGGGCCCCTCGACTTTACGCTGTTTCGTTACATAGTCGTTTTTAAATTTATCGATCTCGGTGCAGATATGCTTCAGATTATCGTCTAGGACAGAAGTCTGTTTCAAGCATCCACTATTTTTTCTTTCCTTTTCGAAATGCCAGGATTTCATCAATTCGACATGCAAATGCTTTAAATTCATGCGTAGGCCAATAATCTTTTTAATATATTGTAAGCAATCGGGATCGCCAGCGGCAAGTATAGCCTCGTAATCGTTTTTCAGTTTATTTTTCAGCTCGATCGCCAATCGTTCAGCATTTTTTAGGTTACCTTGTCTAACCCAATTCGTATCCCAGGATTTCTCTTCCAAATTGGCTCTACATACTCCCAGTTCTACTTTCAAATGATTCGCTAGGTTGTCCAATTCGACGATCCTTTTTTGATAGTCCTCCGAATTGTTACACTTCAATCGCAGCATGGCTCTTAATTTATCCATTTCATAATGTAAACTATCATTCTTCAGTTTAGACACTTGTAAGTGTTCGCTGACATTCGCTAGCTCCTCGTAGAGATTCGCAATCGTCTCGGCGACCCTGTTGACTATGTCGATAAATACTATTTCTATTGTGTGATCGATCATCATGAAATGCTTCAGTTTGCACTTAAAATGTTTGAGCTCAGAACCACGCTCGTCTTCATCTTTTTTCGATCGACTTTCGAAATGAAGAATTTTGTTGCTCAAATGTTCCTCTTTGACGTGTGACTCTTGTTTGACTTCGAGGAGCTTGTCGTCAGATTTCCAAGCATTGTCGGACATAACATACCGATCCTCGATTAAAGTGCTTTTAAACTCCGCTATTTCTTTCTTCAACACCTGATTCACCCCTTTGAGTCGTTTGATCGTTGCCCTTTGATTCTCGATTAACGGATCAGCATGCAAGGTGTCATCCATTTCTCTTCCGGCAACTTGTAGCGCCAGCTTCAGTTGCCAAATGTTAGCTCTGAGTTTCGTCCGATCATCGTGCCAATTTTTCATTTGCTTCATTATGCTGTTTAATTTGCTCAGTGTGATAGATGCGACGTAAGCGATCCTTGAGCCCTCTTTGTACACGTTTTCATTTCCGTCGATTGGTAAGCAAGTACTGACACATTGCTCAACCATCGTTGCTTATCAAGTGTTGGGCATGTAGTTTAATCGGGATTTTCACTTTAATTAAATTTAACTGGAATTTCTCGGCTGACGCAGTTCAACTGAACCGTACAGTTTGCGGTTCAGATTTGGCGAAGGAAATTTTTAACTGACGCAACCGTTGAAACTGAAAGTTATAGAAATTCAATGATGAATTTTTATTACTATACACATGTATAACATAAGGATCATTTTTTAAAATCAATATATTCATTTTGCCATTGACATTAATAATTATATTCATCATGTATTAATTATAAGTAATATATTATTATATAATTAACTAAATGTTTGTGCATACATATGAAAACTTTACATTTTTAATGATACTAACGATTCACATTGAAGGTCAATAACTATAATTTTTAAATCATTGTTTAACACAGGTCATAGAATTTATTCCTTCTTTCAATTGTAACTTATATTTGCATTCTCTTCTTGCAGATGTCAATTATTAGTATTGATATAATCACACTTATTATTTTTATTATGAGACATGTTTCTCGTTATAAAACACCCTGTTAGATAATGTATTAATTTGTTAATACAAATTTATTTACATAAAGTTTACAGAGTTTTATGTTGAATTAGATTATTCTTACTTCTAAAATATAATAAAGATGTCATAATAATTTCTTAAGGTATTCCATAGAATTTAAACAATCAGTGTGCACTTCAACTTTTAATTTAGATTCAATTTTTAATTATTAAAATATGACGAAGTATATTACATTTTTACAGCAAATTTTTTTTCTGAAAGCAGATTAAAACTTTTGGTTATAATGTCAGTAATTTGTTTTATAAATATCTTCACGCTTCTCACAATAATTGTAAACGCTCACATAACGATTAAGTAAAATACATATAAATATCTAAAATGAAGTGAATAATCAATTTATATGGGACGGAAGGTAAATGATTTTTAATCCATTACCTTCTCTGTCTTCCTTTATGGGAAAAAATGCATAGAGAAATTTACAAACATTTATAGCTATACTTATAGTTATAATTACCTTTTGTATAATAGTATAACAGCTACATAACAATAGTGTAGTAACATTATTGTCCTGATTATACCTGACTCATATACTAATGATAGGATAAAAATCATTGATAAAATCATTTATTAGAATTATTAACTTATTGATAATAGCTTTCCAACACGTTAAGAAGTAATGAAAACAACTAACATTCCAGAAATGAATATGGGTGACAATTAAGTTGAGTCAAAAATCGAGAAATGATATTTTATTGTTTAAAATAATTTTAAGGTCATGATTTCATAAACCAATGAACTTATTCTAGTGTTGATTACAATATTGCACTGTGAAGAATAAAATAATATAAAAAAGGAAGATAAAATGATGATTAAAGTGATATTTAAAATTTCCTTGTATATTTCTTATCACTCAAATAATTTTTATATTCTGTTTAAATAGATAATTATTTATCATCCACATTGTAATTAATTATAACATGTATAAACTTTTAGGGAAGTCTTCTTAGTGTTATCTTAAAAAGTGGTCATGAGCTGCCTGCTTTTCATAAACGTAACTCCAGGAAGACGATTAGTTGAACCTTTGTTTACGAAGCTACAATGAATTTCCTCAAGTTGCAGTGATTTTGTGGAGTCATTGTTTAACTTTGGAAGTTCGTAATGCGCAATTGTTCAAGGTTGGCTGAATCTCCCGACCAATTCGGCCGACGAGGCAAGTGAACGGAATTACAAAGAATAGTCGAGATAAAGCACTAAAAGGACCACTATTAGGCAATTTTCAGAATTTGAAGTTTCTTTCTATTTTCAACATGTTTCCATGAAGATTTTACCAATAAGTCAGTAATGTTTTTGTAATTGAAATCAGTCTTTACACACTTTATCGTTATCTCGAATTATATCGAAAGTGAAATTGATGAATAATTTGAAATCAATTTTCACTTTGTATTTATTAATATTTAAAGAATAAAAACCTATGCTTATTTTAATATGAGCGTGTACATTTTCGTTTTAAATGTTAATTGTTTGCATTTAATTAGATTGTATGGTTTCGTACCTCATCGGAAAATATTAAATGAAAGATGATGGTTTAATTACTCTTGAATTATAAGCAGTCGAAATTCTACGAGAACATTTCATGGTAAATAAGACTTTTTATTTTCAATAGTGATATAATATGTCATGGAATTGCTATTTGATTATATTAAAGAATAATAGAAGATAAAGAGTAATAAAAGAAATTTGATATTAATCAAGTTATCGAGATTTATCGATAATTATTTAGACATGTCAGTAGAAGTGCGACTGCTGCAACGATATACTTCATTTTAATCTCACATATTTCGGTGAAATTTTTAGTTTCTGTGTTTCGGCTCCCCGAGAGCAGTCCCACATTTAGATGCGCTGTTCGTTCTGTGTAATCGGTTTAAGATAATAATTCACTTGTATTCGTGATTCAGTGACACTCGTTAAGGAAAAAATAGAGGCGATATAATTACTTCCGGATAACCTGTAAAATATGACTTAATGGATACCTGCAAAGCGAGGTGGGAAAATTGCAAAAGAAAGCAATAAGAAGTACAACTAATTGTAATTAATATAATTTATTACTTCCTTTTAAAATTTTTTAAATACTTTTAAATAAATTAAAAAAATTTTTTTATTATTTTCCTGAAAATACTGAAATGATTAATGAAAATACATTTCGTATTTCTTTCTATTTTTGAAGTTTCTTTAATACAATATGTTTTAGTACTAGAATTATCATATTCGTTAAAATAATTGGTTTTAGATGCCTTATTTTACGATTATTGAAATTGTGTAGGTGTTTACACTCGATATTATTTAAAAAATTATTATTTTTATTGACACAATGAAATGTTGTATGGAACCTTGCAAAAATGTATTCTTATCATTTTTATAAGAAGTTAAATCATTTAAAATTCTTGGTAGTTCTAATGTTAACAATCTTAATGAATGATCATATGATACAGTAGTTTTCGATGAAAACATACTATATTTATATAATTTATATATAAATTATATTTTATTTTTCACACAAGGAATTTTACAGAATTTGCACTTGAAAAATCTAGAATGACTTGTGATTATTTATCGCCGTTCAAAATATTCTAATATACACCAATAATAATATTGTAAAAATAATTTGTAATTTATTGTCAATGTTGAAGGATATCCTGCACCATGGAGGCTGAACCTTCTCTATCGTTTTGTCGTTGTGGATGTAACGCACCATCTTCGCTTGCGTCAATTGCTCCACCACATGAGCCATGTTGTTGCTGCAGTTACAATCCCTTTAGTGACAATTCCAAAGAATCGGAGATTTACGATCTCTCATTTGCCCTGAGAAAACTTGCCGTAATGAAGTGTCAGATGAAGAAATGGCGGATGGAACGACTTCAGTTTGAAAGCGAAAATAGGTCTTTGAAGCAAGCCCTCCAGTTATACGGTATCGATGTATGATATTTTGCACCAATTTTCTGCTTTCCAATCATGCGATTCGTGTTAAATTGATTAATTGAAATTTAAATTGAATACTCATATATTGTTCATATCTTCTTTCCTTTTCCCTTTCCTTTTCGAAACTATTTAATAAGGGATCTATATAAAAAGTGTAAAATAGCTAATGCTCATGATCTCAAGAAATAAATTTACATTTACGACAAACAGTTCCTACTCAGCTGTTTTTTTCATCTGATTAAGTAAAACACGTTGTTGTAAGAAAGTTTAGTGATTGATTTCATGATGATTGATTAATAAAATATCACTAATTTCTTAAATAAAAACAAATGTAAGAAATTTGGAAATGAAAACAAACATAAAAATAACGATTCTAATCAAATGCATTAATCAGTACGGTTACTGTTCCATGCGTATTAACCTACATCTACACGCATCTCGTTTTAATGATCAATATCGGTCCTTTTAAACAGATTATTAAATTCATTAAACTTTTCACTTGATAATTAGGAAAAAAGCAATCATTCCGATCAGCTTCCGAAAATTTTTGATCACACATCCAGATAATGTGGAGTTACGGAATGTGTGGATAATCAGGAATTTAGATAATCGGTATTCGATACCCAAATACTCTGCATTCCTCTTCATTGGAAGAGCATTTTAAATTCACATAACGGATCCTCATTAACCAAAATGGAAGTATTTCCATTTTCAGAGGAAGAATTTCTTTCCATTTCTAGTTACGTGTCTTTTTACATTTTCCTATCTATATATTTTTATAACAATTTAATCCATATCCTTCTTCCTCTCTTTGCATTCTTCTCCATTAGAAGAGCATTTTAAATCCACATAACGGATCAGCGTTAGCCAAAATGGAAATATTTCCATTTTCAGAGAAAGAAGTCATAAATATACAAATATGTATTCCTTTTCCAGTTATATGTCTTTTTTATATTTTCCTTGTATGCGCATATATTTTTATTGCAACTTAATTTATTTCTGTCGCTCTCTCCCTCTTTTTCATGCCATTGTCGCTCACTCATACGCTCACTACCATCCGCCACCGGGCTCACTGCTATCTTTTTCTTTTCATGGCCGCCTTCTTCTACTTTTGGTCTGTTTTCCCTCATACCAGCATTCTATTTCAATCCATTCATTTCTTCTTTTTCTCTCTGTTTCTCTCTTCCTCTCCTCCTTATTGTGTCCAATTCCTCCGCCCAGCTCCCCCCTCCTTCACCCTTCCCTAAAATCCACCTTATCAACCCCGTTTCGCCCTTCCCACCTCCATTAACACATCCCACCGTAATATACTCCCAATTTTCCTCTCCTCAGCCGCACACCCTGCCCGACCGTCCTCTCCGAGCCAATATCTTTCCTCTTTTAGTTCATTTCCTAGTCTATATCTGGCTACTCATTCATCTCCTTTCCTTCATGGGTATTTGCAGGTATTGCAACAATTCCTCCGAACTTATTCCTATATGACTCGCATTACGCAATATGTTCAACTAAAGATTGTTGCTTTTTAAAGGTTTAATCCTTTGCGGATGAGGTTTTTTTGAATATTCCAAATGTTCAACAGAGGCAGTTGAATTATGTAGAGAATTTTAATTAACACTAGAACTATCGGACAGATCAAATTGACTCATTTCATAATTTTTTATTTTCTAAGTATTTAAATTATGAAGCTCTTGCGAGAGATTGTAAATTAAATTTGTGTGACTGCACAGATATAAGAATAAGAGACCTTCCAAACCTCAAGAAATATACTATTCTAATTTTTGTATAGGATTATGAATAAGTCATTCTAATTGTTCGGTTGTTCTAGTGTTAATGTGATCGTGGTTTGATGGTAAGAATGAAAGATAATTATTGAACGACTCAGGAAAAGTGTGTTTGACCTAATATTACTTGTTGTTGGATGTTTTACCTTTAGTCAACGAGTTTTTGGCAATAAATGTGGTTACTATGCTTTAGCGATACTTTACTCTTTTAACTCTTCGACTGCAACGTCACTTGAACTCAAGTGTGGGTAGTAGGGTGCGAAATGACTGACTAGTTTTAACGAAAACTCTTCGAAAGATTTCCGTCTGACCTAGCGCCAGAACGAATGGACGTGGAGTGAGATCTGGTTATCACGGTGGCTTCCATTTAACGTCGCTTCACCCCCACATCTTTGTCCGCAGACAAAGATATGGGGTACATGGAAATTCCCATGATTCCGTTCGGAAAAGGAAGGTTTTCCCCCACGTGCGGAGCTAGGTAGTTTGTTTGTTTCGTCGCCCGTCTTAGGGCTCGACAATTTAACGCACCCGCACGGGTCTGCAACGCTGATGTTTGCTTACCCGTGCTACCTGGGCTAGAGCATCCGCACGGCAAGAAAACCTTTCCTGTGTCCCGTTATGCCGCCACATCAAGTAACGTAACTTTTTGCGCAGAATTTAAAATTAATTTTCTCGGTAAAATATCGATCAAAACGAATTTTGTTGGATCTATGAGTTGCAAGAAGACTAATATATCAATTGTTGTGGAAAATCTCAACTTTCAGATTCTGTTTTGTTAGGAAAATTATTTTGATTGTATGAGTAATTTGACGAGTGTCGATGTGGAAAACGTATTAAGTCTGATAATGAGTATATGTAAATCTTTTCTGTTTCTAAAAACCAAAATCCACCTCAAGGACCATCATTTTAAAATATCCAAAGGGTTATGAAAGAAGAAGTAGATTCAGTTGCAGATTTGCAGTACTGTTTCCAGGAATGGGAATACCTTCTGCGACGGTATATAATTTCTCAAGGGAATAATTTTAAAGGGAGTAATGTTGATTTGTAGCTGAGTTACTATAAATATTTCCAAAGAAACTGTCTTATTTCTTTTTTATACATACTTTGAAGTTAGTTCTACTGGGACAACGATAAAAGTCATGTAAAGTGTAAGCTTAGGTGTGTATTTTTTTGGAAATAATTGATTAACTCAATTGTTGAATATTTTATTAATGTCCAGTTGCCATTTATTTTATTCCGTTTGAAACAAAAATTATATTCTCTAGTGAATTCAACATTTTTTTACTTCGTAACAGCATTGCTTTACGGAGCAAGTTGCGGAAAATAAGAGTGATAATAAAAGGTTATGGAATGCTTCTTTTAATAAGATGCTCGACGGTCAAAGGGTTAACATTAAAAATGCAGAGTATATTCAGGTATATTCAAAGGGTAGATTCATAAATGAGGTATTTCAGATAAAGTGAAAGCTTTGTTTATATTTATTAACGTTTTAGCTTTATTATGCTTTTGTTTTATTATGTTTTATATCGTTATTACACGTTTTGAGCAATCGTACGTATTTAACTACATAAGTATAATAGTTAATTAATATATGAATATAAATATATAACATTGTAAATAGAATATAATATAGCATAATATAATATAAACATAGAGTACATCGGAGAGAGATGGCCCACTTTTTTTAAAAACTACTATTACATCATAAATGTCATCGATACCTAACAAACAAAATATTTATGAAAATACATACACATAAGAAAAATAGTTATATAGGCTTTCGCGCAAGATTCAGTGTACCACTAAAAATTATTAATTCTGTAAATATAATACAGGAATAGTTATGAATATATAAATAAAATGTACAAACAAGATTCTCTGTCTATATGACACCATTTTCCAACAACATTTCTCAACACTGATAAAGTCTGTACAGTCGTTTAAAAACATGCCACGAAGCTCCTGTTTTAGAGGCATTACCTTAAAATTCTGGTTGCTTGCCGCGGCCATTATTTTGCACGTGCAAATATACGGAATGTTTCTAAAGATTAGGTGTTTTTGTGTAGGTGTAAACGCGGATGAGATATTGAAGCCTGATCCGCTGCTCGTGCAGTCCCGGGAAGAAATCGAATGGCTGCAAAATGCAAACGCGGCGCTTGAAGATAAAGTGAGGGATCTAGAAGAAACCCTCGCCGAACGAGATTGCTGCGACGATCCTTGTGCATCGGTACACTGTCTCAGGGAGAAGATGAAACTTTTGCGGGAGCGATTTGCGGTCAAAAAAAAAGAGTATGTCTCGCCAATCTTTATGGCTGGTTCAACTGTTGTATGTCTAGAACTACCGAGAATTTAACACGATTAATATGTAATTCCTACAAAAATTGTAAGAAAGATTATTTTCAGTTTTTACAGACATTCATTATAGTATTCAAGTGAAATTATTTATTTTCAAGATCATTTCGAATATTCAATGCTTTCGAGATATCAAAAATTGCGAAACAAACGAACCGAAACCAGTCATTTTGACTGATACGGTAGTTCTAGTGTTAAATACGGACGATTTAATTGCCTCAATACTTTAACATATTCAACATGACAGGATTTTTACAATTTTGATTCTGGTGATAGAAATTTCGTCAATTTTTGTTTCCGTAATATGTTGGCTGCTACGTAGGTTATTGGTGAATGGAGCTTTCAAATTAGAAGAAAATAATTATAACTTGTAAAATAATTGATGTAGAATACAAATGTTCAGCAGAGTAAATAACTAGATAATAATTTAACGTAAAAATTGTGATAGCAAATAACTGAAGCCATGAATTTCAAAACAGCACCAGTCAACCAATCAACATTTCGAGAAAATCAATCTAGCTTCTCATCTTTGTTTATTCATTTACTACCTATTTTATCGATTCTAGCGGCAAGCATTGGTCATATGTATCTACACTTTCATTACGTGTACATGTTTAATATTATTAAATAGGTCTGAGTAAGCTGAAAACAGTTACATCAATAACTTGTATAGATGACGTTAAAAAGTAGACTTGCTTTTATTTTGGAATTCATGATTTCAATTAATAATGTTTCGTCTCTATTTTTCCTATAGGAAAAATAAGTGATAAAACGCTGATGTCTTTCATGGCAGTTAACATGGTAACTTTTTCAAATACAAGAAAAATCAATCCTGTGAAATTATATATTTTTGTTAGAACTTCGTAATAAAGCAATTGCTAGTCACGTTCCTTTGACATTTTTTTCTTATTCTTTATCATAGGATATATTAGCACTGTTTAGTGGAAATAAACCAAAATACCCTGTATGTGTCAAACTTCATCATTCAAGAGCACGTTCTGCTGCATACATGTATCCTCCTCGTATTGAACGTATTAATCCCTTTGCCCTATGATTTATTTCTTAACTATGATCGACACAACTACTTATCGTTAACCATTTATTGGGAAAAAAATGTTGATACTTATTAAAAAAAATAAATAATATGCAGATTTGTCAAATTTAGTTTAAATTTTCGTCACGAGTCTGACACGATATTGCAGGTCAAGAGGTTAAGAGTAGGATTTTTTTAATGAAATAGAAATTATTGTTTCAAGGCTGTATGTTATTCTGCAGAATTGTTTTAAACACTTACGTGTACAATACACATGCATAGAAAATGCATTTCATTTATAGTAGAGGTTTTTCTGGTATTCTTTGCAGAAACGATAGTGTGGTTGTAAAGGAAACCTCTGTCAAAGGGGTCCAATTGGTGCAGCGAGACGAAAGCCTCTATGCAGTATTTTATTTTTGCATTTCAAAGAAGTAAGAGCCGCCTTGCGCTAACAATTTTTAAGCGACTTTTCTGACGCGCAATATTCGCAGTTCTCATTTTATATTCGTTTTCTTGTTACATTTACTGTTGTGTTTTTTACTTTATTTGTGAATAGAACAATTCCTGGGGCGAAACGAATGTAAAATTCACAAATCAGCAACTTTTTTTGTAGTACGTAAATTGTATTATATTTTGTACTTACAATATTGGAGTTTCTTTTTGGGTTTAAGCAGTGATCGATACTGAATTATTAGGGGAAAATTATCAAAATAAAATATAAGTTTGAGACAGATTATAAACTTCAAGTAAGTTCTGTTAAGATTATAATAAACTTCAGTGAATATAAGCTGTTCAAAATTCGTATCAATTATATTCAATATTTTTAAAAATGTATTTAAAATTTCAATTTTCAGTTCACACCTCAAAGAATACTTATCCTTCCTAAAAATGGAAAATAATCACAAAATTTCATTCGACAATCATTTTTTTATACTTCTCGACTCCTGACTCATAATTTCACTTTCATAATTGGTAGACAGAAGAAATTGTGGCAATTAAAGGTCCGTGCAATATTTCTGAGTTAATTACTGCAGGTTGTCCAATGAAAACTAAAATTGCATTTCCTGACAGATTAAGGGATACGATATCGCAGTTGAAATTAAAACTTGCCCAGACAGAGGAAGATGTAAGCTGTCCTGCGATATACCGGCTAAGAGCGAAGCTCCGTGAATTAATGAGGGGGGGTCAAACGGCGGACCAGCAGGTTACAAAAGTCGTCGAAAGATCGATCGAAACTTTGGTGGATCTCTCGAAAAGCTGCGAGGATTTACGTCTTGAAAATGAACGTCTTTCGGCCGAATTGGCCGAATTACGCCGTGAATTGGCGGATCTCGAGAAAAAGCAGCTCGCAGACGAGTATCGTGCGGTCGGCCTTCAAGAGGAAACGCTGAAGACAGTTGAAACAACAACAGTTCCAGAGTATATAGATGTGTCGGAGCTGCTGCAGAAGCTTCAAGACTGCGAGCTCGTTGTTTCCGATTTGAAGCATCATCTAGGGGAGAAAGATAAGGTTATCGATGCTCTGAAGAAAGAACTCGAAGCGATGATAGCTCAACAAGATCTGCTGGACCAGATTGCGGCTATGAAAGAAGAGCTCGCTAAAAAGGACGATAAGGTATTGTAATTGTCGTGTCGTATCGGTCTACAAATTATGAGACTTAGATCACCTAGACCGGGTTTAGGAATAACGAAACTGGTGGTAGTTGGTTGCAATTTCCCAAGGCAGACTCGGCTGTTCGTGGCGAAGTTATTTCGTCAGATGTCGAAACTGATCCGTCTGTAATAGTTGCGGAGATGATTAACCCTTTCGATACAATAGACAAGATATCTCGTGTATCTTTATTATTACTGTGAAGTGTTTTATTGTTACAGAAAAATGAGAAAAATGAATTAGAATTCCACAGTTTAGCTGTTAACCAGTTAACTGCGTTTGACGAGTATACACGTCATGTTAAAACTTGAAATAATACTAATCTTTCCAACGATCTTTTCAACGATAAGTAGTTATTTTTTCAGATATACATATAATTCTTCTTTGTTTTGCTTTAGTTTTTTGTCAGAATATATTATAGGTATATTTGCACTACGTTTAACGAATATATACTTCATTGCTTGACTTTATTGAGCGCACAACGAAAGATTTTTTAAATTAAATTCCACAGTTATTAGTATTAGCAGCAAGTTATGTTTATGCAGTTGTTATCAAATCAAATCAAATTATTTGACAGAAACGTTCTCTGTGTTTAACTTTTAACTTAACCCGCGTCAATTTTTTCTGGTACCTAATATTTTGAAGCAGAAACAATTGCGTCTACTTTAATCATTGAATATTAATTTACTTCAGATACGAGATCTTCTGAATAACATGAGGCAATCGGAAATAAATTTGGTAGGCCTGACTCACCTTAGCTCGGAGCTGGACTCCTTAAAATCTCGATTATCTGAATTCGAGAAAGAGAAGGAGTCGCTTCTAGACGAGATAAAGGAATTAAAGGAAGCATTGGTGGACAGAGATGCTCAAATAATTGACTTACTAGAACAAAAAAATCAGTTGGAACAGGCGTTGTCGGATAAGAATGCGGAAACGCAAGAGATTCTTAATAACTTGAAGAAGGAGATAGACGATTTAGTGTCGCAAATGGCCAGTTTGCAGGACGAACTCGATGAGTGTAACAAGCGAAACGCAGAGCTTCAGAAGTGTTGTTTCGAAAGGGGCAGACTGTTAGAGAAATTACAGAGTATGGAGGAAGAACTGGCATTGCTCCGAGACGAACTCGGGGCCGCGAAAGACATAATCAGTAGGTTCGAGGAAGAGATAAACACTCTGAAGGCTGACAAGGAAAAATTGCTGTGTGAGCTGGACGAGATTAAGAAACAGGCTGATGCGCTAAGTGACCAATTGGCAGATGAGAGGGCAGCCAAGGAAGCTTTACAAAGAGAGTTTGAATCAATTCGGGACGAAATAGAAGAGTTACGAAGAGAGAATTCAAATCTAAAAACTCAGCTCGAAGTTGCAAGGGAGGAAAACGACAAGCTCAAGGAAGCGAATAATGGTTTTAAAGCAGAACTGGACACGATGAGCGTAGAACTCGACAATTTGAAAAGAGAAAATGACGAGCTACAAAGGAATTTAGACGCAACGAAGCTAGAAAATCAAAAATTAAAAGAAGATGTGGCGGCATTAAAGAATGACCTTAGAGATGCCAGAGAAGAGGTGGTCATGTTGAGAGTCGACAGAGAGGCGTTAAAAGCAGCGGACGAAGACGCAAGGGGTAAGATGGATGAACTCGAGTCGCAAGTGGAAGACCTGAAAGCAGTAAAGGATCGGTTAGCCAGCGAGAATGCCGACGCGAAGGCTAGAAATTTGGAATTGGAACGGGAATTAGACGATGCCATGAAAGCAATGGAAAAAATAAAAGCAGAGAACGTTGATTTACTTGATGAATTGGAGCGTCTGAAGGGAGAATTAGCGACGGCTCGTAGCGTGATCGATCAATTGAAAACGGAGATTGGTTCTTTGAAAGACGCTCTCGACAAGTGCGTGGGTGAAATGGAGACGTTAAAAACCCAAAACAGCGAACTCAAGGAGAAAAATGAGTATCTACGGGCGGAGATTGATCAATGCAAAGCCGACGGGGACTCTCTGAGAAACGATTTCGATCGAGTAAAGAAGGAATTAAGTGAGGCGAACGCACGACTAGGCGACGCAGTTAACGAGCTGAACAAATTGAAGGAAGAAAACGAATTGCTTAAACAAAATTTGGACCGGCTGGTTGCTGAAAGGGACAAGCTGCAAGCGGGGATTGAGGAACTTGAAAGCGAAGCGGAGAAGCTTCGAGCGGACTTGGAGAACAGACATAAGATAGAAGCCGCATTAAACGACGAAATCGAACGAATTAAGGGCGAGAAGGATGTGCTGGCGGCAGAATTAAGTAAACTGAGGGATGATTATTCTGCTTTGGAAAAGGAAACGGATCGGTTAAAGACACAGTTCGAAGACTGCAATGCTGAGAATGCGACGCTAAAGTCGGAGAAGGCTCGGTTAGAAGGTGAAAATGAGAGGTTGAGGAGAGAAGGAAATTCGTGTAAAGAAGAGAACGATAAATTAGAAGCTGTAGTTGAAGAATTGCGGAAAGAAAAAGAATCGTTGAGTGACGGATTCAATAAGTTGCGAGAGGAGAATAGTAAACTGCGAAAGGATTTGAGTATTTTAGAGAACGAAGTGGATGATTTGAAGACGAAGTTTGAGAATGAAAGAAAAACTAATAAAAATATGATAAACGATTTGATGGTACTGGACAGCAAGGTAAACGAATTAAGTCAGGCACTCGATGAGGCTCGGGCAAAGAATGAAGCCTTGGCAGAGGAGAATCAGAAGCTTCAGTCGAAAATACGGAACATGGATCAAGAGATAGGGGATTTGAGGTTAGAGTGTGCGGATTTGAAATTTGAGATCGAAAATTTGAAGCAGCAAATCGCTAACTTGAAAGCACAGGTTGCTACATTGGAAGAAGATGTGGAATATTGGAAATTGGAAAATTGTAAAGTTAAGATAGAGGTAGATAAATTGAAAGCTGATTTGGAGAAGGCATTACTGGATTTGAGAGAGTGTCAGGTAAATGAGATCAGTAATTATTAGTGAGGTACTAAAGACCATTGTTTTGTTGTCAATTATTAAAAACGCTTATGTAAGACATTTTATATTAGATAGATGGATATATATATTATATATTAAAATTATATATTATATATTAAAAAGGATTACTTTATTACTTTATGTATAATAGATTAACTAATTAATTATATTTAACCAGACGTACGTATGCAAGTCGGTGAAATTAAAAAAAATTAGTTTGTTAGTATGAATTACAGCAAGGGTGTATTAAAATATATTAATTTGGAAAAATAATAAGATTACAGTGACACGCAGACAGTGTACAAACAGTTGAAAAAATTCTTATCATATTTTCTGTTTATCATTTAGATTATCATTTATTTAGAAGTTTAAGCAAT